GACATCAGCAATGATATCCCTCATTCCACGGCCTTTTCTGAATCCGGCTTGAACCTCTGGAAGTTCTCTGTCAACGAATGCTTGCAGCCATTTCTGTATTACCTTTAGCAAAACTTTACGTGCATGGGATATCATAGAGATGGTCCGATGATTTCTGCATTCTGTTGGGTCACCTCTCTTTGGAGTGGGCACAAATATGGATCTCTTCCAATCGGTCGGCCAGATAGTTGACTTCCAAATTTCTTGGCAGAGATGAGTGATGTGCTGCCTCACTTTCTTGAAAGATTTCAACTTTTATTCCATCAATTCCTGGTGCCTTGTTCTTTGCCAATTCTTTCACTGCACCTTGGACTTCCTTTCTTCAGTATCACTGGCTCTTGATCATATGCTACCTCTTGAAACACTCAGGAATATATAATAATTTACACCTCCAAACTTAGACATTGGCTACCTAAAATGAGGGGGCAATAAAGGCATGAAGTAACTGGCTTACAGGGTTTCAAGAGGGAGTTTAGTTTAAGAGTATGGGGGGAAAGAAAGAGTTCCCACTGAATAGGTTTCATTTTGTCTAGATGGGTCTGGTGAAAAGAGATGGGGATAAGATTCATATGACTCAATAGTGAATAATTATTATGACGAATTACAACTGTCACAATTGTAAAGGTAGAAGTTATGTAACAAAAATGGGAGTGGTTAAACTTACAGTCCAGAAACAGAGGACCCTAGGACCATCAAGGAAGAAGAGCATAAGCAGAATGCGGAACCTTATCCAGGGAAGCAGTGATGCCTGAGACGGAGGCATAGATGGGGACATGGAGCAGGGGCGCTGCTGAGGACTCTATATTCATGGGAAGAGAGGGACTAACATCTCATGGCCAGGAGGCAGACTTGCAGAATGTGCCCTTTGGAGGTGTAAATTATTATATATGCCTGAGTGTTTCGTTTTTAAAAGCTAAAGTGGATAGAGAGAAATACTGTTAACTGATGGTACATGGAGGGGATGATAATCATTGCAATGAAACAATGTGTATGATTTGTTGAATGTAAAAGTGATGATTTGCTCTGTAAACTTTCACTCAATCCACAATAAAAGCCTTAAAAAAAAAGAAAACATAGTACTAACACAAGGATAAGCATATATAGACCAATAGAGCAGATTGAGAATGGAGAAATTAATCTTTGCAGTCATATTCAGTTGATTTTTTCGGTGATGGTGCCAAGACAATTTAATGAGGAAAGAACAGTCATTTCAACCAATGGTGTTGGAACAACTGGATATCTATATGCAAAAGAATGAAGTTGGACTCCGTGATCTCATGTTGTGATGGTGGTGGTGGTGGTTATGTGCTGTGGAGTCAGTTCCAATCATAGTGACCCTGTACAGAGTGTCGGAGGCTGTAAATCTTCACGGGAGCAGAAAGCCTTATCTTTCTCCAGCTGAGCAGCTGACCCTGAGGTTAGCAGCCTGACTTGTAACCACTACGCTACCAGAGCTCCTTTACTCATGTTATGTACAAAAACTAATTTCAAATGTTAAAAAAGTCTAAATGTAAGAGCTAAAACTACAAAACGGTTAGAAGAAAACATAGGACTTAATCTCCATGGCTCTGGGGTAGGCAAAGTCTACCCAAAAGCACAAGTAACAAAAGGAAAAAAATGGGAGACTTCCAGCAAGATGGCAGACTAGGCAGATCCGCTAAACAGACCTTTTACAACAATGATACAGATACCAAGTGAAAAGTAGATGAATCAATGGAAGTCTGAATTAGTTACCCCAAAGATAAATCTCTTAATAACAGTAAGTTAGAAGAACAATTTGAAGACAGAATGAGAAAATCAGAAGAAAGTCTGAGATTTATGTGGGACAGCATGAAGAGGAATAACTTACGGGTAATGAAAATTCCAGAAAAGGTAGCAGAAGAAATGGAAGAATGCAAGAGTTAAAGTGAATAGAGGAGAATACTGTTAACTGATGGTACATGCAGGGGATTGCAATCATTGTAATGACACAAAGTATATGACTTGTTGAATGTGAGACTGAAGATCTGCAAACCTTTATTCAATTCAGAAGAAAAAGTTAAAAAAAAAATATAAAGAACACCACACCATTAAGAAAGTTGAAAGATGATTATCTGGTAAGGGGCTTGTATTCAGAATATGTATATTAAGAATTCTCACAACACATCATTTTTTTTTTTTTACAAAGCAAAGGATTGGAATAGTTTTCCAAAAAAGATTTACAAATGGCCAATAAGCACATGAAAAGATGCTTAGCACATCCTTAGCTACTGTTCTTGTATTGCTGTTTAGTGCAACTGAGTTAGGTTCTAACTCATAATGATCCCTGTATAGGGTTTCCGAGGAATGGCGTGGGTTTGAAGTGCCAACTTTGCAGTTAGCAGTCCAGTACTTATTCTACAGTGCCACACCATGACCCCCTTTTTTTGTTGTTATGTGCTGTCGAGTCAGTTCCGACCCATAGTGACCCTGAATAGGGTTTACGAGGAGCAGCTGGTGAGCTTGAACTGCCAACCTTGCAGTTTAAATGGCTTTGCAGTCTGGTGCATTAACCCACAGCGCCATACCAGGACTCCTACTTATATACAGACTACCTATATAAAGACCAAAAGGCAGCGGTTTGAATGGAACAAGCAGATGCTACAGGGTTTAAAATCAGGAGAGATGTGTGTCAGAGTTTACCCTTTCACCATATTTATTCAATCTGTATGCTGAGCAAATATCAGAGAAGCTGAATTACATGTGAAGAAGAATACGGCAACAGGAATGGAGAAAGACTCATTAACAGCCTGTGAAATACAAGTAACGTAGCCTTGCTTGTTGAAAGTGAAGTCATGAAGCACTTACTGATAAAGATCAAAGATTACACCCTTCAGTATGGATTCCACCTCGTCTAAAGAAAAAACAATCCTTACAGATGGACCAATAAATAATACATGGTACCAGAGAAAAGATTAAAACTGTCAAGGATCTCATTTTACTTGAATCTACAATCTACACCCTGGAAATTAAACACCATATTGCATCGGGCAAATCTATAGCAAAAGACCTCTTTTAAAGTGTTCAAAAGCAAAGATGCCACTTTGAGGACTAAAGTGTGCCTGAATCAAGCCATGGTATTTTCAGTAACTTCAAATGCATATGAAAACTGGAAAATGAGTAAGGACGACTGAAGAATAATTGGTGTCTTTAAAGTATGATGTTGGCAAAGAATATTAAAAATAGCATGGACTGCCAGAAAAATGAAGAACTCTATCCTGGAAGAAGTACAGTCAGAATACTCTTTAGAAGCAAATGGTGAGTAAGACTAGTCTCATGTATTTTGGTTATGTTATCAGGAGGGACCAGTCCCTGGAGAAGGACATCATTCTGGGTAAAGTAGAGGGTCTGCACAAAAGAGGAAGACCTTCAATGAGCTGGATTGACAAGAGTGATAGTAACAACGGGCTCAAACATAAGAATGACTATGAAGATGTCTCAGTACTGAGCAGTGTTCAGTTCTGCTGTACACAGGGTCTCTGTGAAAAGAAACAAAGTTGATGGCATTTAAGAACAGCTGTGAGAAAATAACTTTGTTTTTTTCAGAACCAGTCACTTATGGTCTATCTAACAGCACTAGATAACTAAGACAGTATATTAATTTTATCTCAATGAAATTGCTGAAAAGGAACTGAATTGTTCCATAAGGAGAGTTGGTTTTAATCATTAAGAAAAGATGTATATAGAAACAATTCTTCAAGTGAAAAGGGTCTTGTTCTTTCAGCAGGGGAAGCAGAAGGAAGAGGAAAAGGGAAAAAATTAGGTAACAAAAATCTCATCATTAAAAAAGGTACTATGAGAGGGTTTTAGTCTTCTAGGATTAGTTTTTTATAAAGATCCAAGGCATAAGTAGGTTTGTCGCGCTTTGGAATGAGTCAAAGGAAAGGTAAAGAAAATTTGGCAGTAGTTGAATTTTAACCTCTACACATAAATGTTGTATATAATACAAGTTTTTGATATAGACCCAAAGAGACTGACTTTCTGAGAAAATAGAGTGAGAAGGAAAGACATTTTTTTATTCATTAGACTTACCACTCGGCTGAAGTACTCGTCTAAAACTTCTACAAAGTTATGGATGAATTCATAAATAGCCATTTCATTCTAAAATAAAAAAGGACGGGTACAATTAATTTTAGTATAGCCCATGCAGAAGTTAAACATAGAGCTTCCCAGTCAGCTCTCAGGTTTCAGAGCATGTGGCTTTTTAGGCAGAATATGTTAGCAAAGTAGCTTCTACCGAAACAAATACTGAGAATTGGTCTATTGCTCATTTTGTCTAAAAGAAGCTTATCCATTAGGGGAACGTAGAAAACGTTAACCTCTAAAAGTATATGATGAATTGAGATGGACTGAAACCTTAGAGTCTAGTGCTTAATTTCTGAGCTCCATTCCCTGATTTCATCACCAGCTTGGCTTAAGTCATTTTTCAGGCTCTTTAAGCCATCATTTCCCATCCAGGAAACACAGTGAGGAAACTGTCTTCAAGTTTAGTTTATGGACAAAAGAGAATGAACTGATATTTCAAAATCTGAAATTCCTTACTTCCATGGCATGAAGATCTTTCTCAGGGAGTCTATGGCTTATGTGCCATTTATCTGGTACTGACATTTCTGAGGAGGTAAACTAAATCTAACACTAGGTAGTTATATTCATAGCTTGCTCTGGCTTTTCATGTGGCACTGTAGGATAAGCAATGGGCCACAAGGTCAGTTTGAACCACACGGTCAGTGGTTCAAACTCACCAGCTGCTCCTTGGAAACCCTACATAGGGTCACTATGAGTTGGAACTGACTCAATGGCACTTAACAACAATAACAACAACAGGTTTTACGTGTGCCAGCCTCTGTAATGCCACCACTGACTGGCATCTACACCTGTCTAGGTTCCCCTATGTGCAACACCACAATGGCAGGGCGCTGGTATTGCCTAGAAGGAGGAAAGCAGTATGCAGTGTGTGCTTTTCTCCTTCATAGGCTGCTCACCTAATCCAAGGAATACTCTAGGTATTTCTCGTCCACACAGTTTTCTCTCTCTCTCATCAGAAACCAAGATCCTTCAAAAGAGTTAAGCTAATTCTTAGGGAGGCAAATAGGAAGAAAGTGTCAATTTAAAGAATAAAACTCAGATCATTGTCTTTGATGTTCTTTCATTTCCCATAGGTTCAACTATTGTCTCACCTCTGTGTCATTAACTCCAACCACAATGAAGAGGGCTGCATACTGTCGATATATCAGCTTGAAATCTTTATATTCAATGAAAGAGCACTAGATGAAACAAAATTAGGTATCAGTTCCCAGGGATGCTAGAAAGCTCTTCAAAATAGCAGGCATCATTGCTACTTCCTGATTTGGAGAGCTCCTAGAAATACATATAGAACATTAAAACTTATGCCACATGTGGAAGCATCTCCAGGGGGAGAGGGAGACGTGGTTTCACATGGGTTCCTCCATGTACTCTCACTCATTTCTTTGGTTTAGCTCTGTGAGTAACTCAGCAAGCAGAGCTAATGAATAACTGCTATTTAAAACTGACGCCAATATAAAAATAAGCACACACAATAAAGGACAGTTCCCTCTTTCCTCTTTCCCTAGGCTCTTTTAGAAGAAATACACATAGCACACATATTCTTGAGAATCTGTTTTTTCTAGACAAAGAATTGATGTAGATCCTTTCTTTTATAAATTATTTACAAATGGCTTTTGTGTGGCAGATGCTAGACAAAAACTCCCGTTGTAAACATTGCTTCATATGAATTAATAACTAGCTTACCACCACAGACTTGTATATAAAACAACTCCTCTCTCAGTCATCTCTCTCCTAAAGTCATTGTACAAAGGGCAGTGGAAAGACACTGGGTGGACAGGAATCAGACAGGGAGCCAAAGGTCCAATGTAGCCCTTCCATTAGACTGCTGGGTGTGTTTGGCGAAATGTAGTTGAAAATGAACTTTATGGCTTTGTGTATATTCTTCTTGGCGCCTGGATGCACCTGGGAATGAAGCTGCAAGGGAATTCTTCTGTGGGAAAGCCATTTGACAGCCTGTAAAATGGAGGGATCTGAGGCTCTTATTTTAAGTTAGGACAAATGTATTAAGTACAGGGCTATTGCAGCTCTAGGCTCACTCTGTAGCCAGTATGATTTCTGCTCGGTTGGAACTTTCAAGGGAAGACAAGCTATTTGAAAAAACTAAGGGACATTTTCTAAAGCCACTCAGGAATTCCTGACATTAAAAAAAAAAAAAAAAGCATCAAAGTACTTTTGTGAATAAAAAAAAAAAAGAAAGAAAACTAAGGTGAGATAGTGCTACTTTGGTGTCTGAATATGCCAGAGCCCAGTAGACAAATTAAAAATAATTTAGAATGCTTCAAACATATCCAACAGCAGATTCATTGTAAAGCTTAATATTTCCAAGGTTATACTTTCAGTGAAAATCATGTTTGAAATCATGGAGTACCTGCATTCTGTAGAAAGATTCAAACAGGATTGCTTCTAAGAGTGTGTTTACTTTTACTTAGAGGGGATTATGTGGCTATCAGCACAACTCTTATAACGGTGTCTAGTTCCTTCTGAAAACAACGTCAGTGTGTGTGTGCCATGGCAGGCCAAAGCAGTAATTCAAAGAGCAACTCTGAGATGTTCTGACTGGAAAATCAATTTAGAAGCCAAGGGAAACACAGTTGCTATGCATAAATTCTGAGCACTGATTGATCTTAATATTTAATGACTGAACAGTAGTTCCCATAGGCAGCCTTTCTACCTGTGCAGTTAAATGAAGAACATATTAAATTAATGGCTGATCTAAACACGCTTTCATATTTTACCTGAGTTGTTGAATGATTTCCAGTGTATTTGAGTTGGGGCCTGAGTGAAGTAATTCAACATTTAAAGTTATTTTTTTGGTTTTTTAAAAAAAAAGACTTAAACAAAAGTTGTTATTTTAATGATTGTACTTAACCTCCATTTTAGCAGAAAGGACTGGTTTGTTGCTGCATATGAATTTTTAACTTCCATTTTCCCCATGAGTCCTAACTGACACGATGTCACTTAACAAAAAATAGTAAAATAAGGCAAATTCAAATTAAGTTTGTTTTGAAATCATAAGGTCCAGTATTATGTTGCTGGTGTACTTATAAAAATGACAAACAGAAAAAAAAAAAAAAACTGCAGACTACATGAGAATCATATTATTACCCTCTGGCACAAAATGGGCCTTGAGTGTTCCCTTCCTATGAGTTATTTAACCTTCACCTTTTGGCTTTAAGAAAGCCACCTGCTACAGACACTGGCAAAAGTTCCAAGGGCTTAATTCATATGAGCAAAAGAAGATATGTCTATGAGAAGTAAATTTGAGTTGCCACTTTCATTGTGCAATGAGACTAGCCATCCGAAGAAACAAAGACTTTTCTTGGTTTTCATTTTCATTATTTTCATTCATTTCACTCCATTCCTTATTTTCCCTAATAGTTGTTAAAGAATATAGTTCAAAGAAAACGACTTAATCCTTGAGAAGTCAGTTATAACAGATCTGCTGCTGAGCTGAATGCAGAGATAAAAGAGAAAAACAGAAACTTACTTGTTCATTAGATCGAGAGAGACAGCTCTTTATGACTTCAGTTTCCAGAAGTGTACGCTTATTAATTTCCACATGTTCATAGTACTTTGAAAGTCGGGTCTGCCCTTGTTTATTTACCATGAGGAAAAATTTTATCATCTTTTACTCCTAGTCGGTATTTTTCCAGAGTTAAAAAGCTAAGGTAGAAGTTGGTTGTAACTGGAACCTGGAGGACAGAATAACAGAAAGACAAGATCAAACTTTCCAAAGAATCATATTAAATCAGATGTAATATCAATAGTACTGTGCTTCTGTGATGTACTAGAGTAGATGAAATATCCTCTGATAACATTGGTTTTCTTTCCTGTGAACTAAAGAAATTTTAGTAAGTAACAAGTAAGCATAATTTTTACTAATTAGCTTCCTGAAACCTAGTCAAGATGATCCCTTGTTAACTTACATTAAGTGTTGTCGAGTTGCTTCCGACTCGTAGCAACCCTACCTAGCTGGTGGATTTGGATAAGCCACCTGTGGTTTGCAGTCTAGTGCTGATCCTACAGCGGCACCCCAGGAGTCCAAGATGATCCCTAAGGTCCCTTAAAAATAAGCAGTGTCCAGACTGTTTTATCTCTTCCAGAAAAGTCAACTCTATCCTACTTGGGACACAAAAGACATGCTATACTTACATCTACAATCAATAAATAGCAAAAGTAAATAGGGCATACAGACTGATCCTAATTCTTGTTAAAAATCTGATTTTGATGTTTACTTCCTAATTTCCCACAAATGTTAGCTGTTACTTTCAGCAGTTACAGTTTATAAGTATCAATTTCCCAACCTCCTTCCGAGGAGGCTGAAAAAGAAAGGTCACTACGGGCTAAATCAGCTCAGATGAGCATCTGTAGTCATCTCAACAATGTCTGAAGGTGTCTGCTAAGAATCAGTTTGCAAGGATTCAGCTGTCCGAACATCAGCAGCAGAGCCTGACTTACAGGCTTCCATGTATGTACTTCCCAGCCTCTTGGAGAACACAGCCTTAATTATGTGTTATGATGAGGCATCAATGCCTGTTCAAGGGTGGGGTTGACTCCTTTACTCATGTGTCATGTTGATAAACTGAGCTCTAGTGAAGTAAGCAGATTGCATTGGAGAATAGAACTTTGTGTGTATGAATGGTATGGTGACTAACCAGCAAAGTACACAGAGCCTAGAGCACACTGGATTGTCAAGAAGGTCTATCTTCTGTGCTTGGTTTTGTAGAGAGCTAAATCAAGCTGTAAACCAGCAAATTGTTTGTCTGTGGGCATTGTGCTATTTGAGGAGATAGGAAGATGCATTGGTTGAAAGCTTGGTCTGGCTCTGACTTATCTACATATTGTTATTAAACATGATATGTGCTCTACTGTTGAACTATTATTTAACCTTGTACAAATTATATTAATGCTGTGAAATCTTTTTCTGCTTCACCAATAGGAATAATAGGTTATTTACAACCGGTGCAAGTAGCATTATGAGCAAAGATAACAGAGAAATGTACCAGAGATTAGAAAGTTTTGAGTATTATCTTTGCTTATAATTTGTTTAATATGAGTTTATGTCATTTAATTTTTTAGAAAATTGTGGATCTTGTTGTTAAGTGCTGCCAAGTCAGTTTAGACTCATAGTGACACTGTAGAAGGTTGCCAAGGCTTTTAAATCTTTGCAAGAGCAGAAAGCCTCATCTTTCTCCCATGGAGCAGCTGGTGGCTCGAACCACCAACTTTGTAGTTCACAATCTAGTGCTTATTATAGGAGGAGTCCTGGTGCTGCACTGTGGGATAAAGCACTGGACCACAGAATCAGTTTGAACCACAAGGTCAGCAGTTCATACTCAAAGACTCAACACTCGAGTCGACTTGGACTCATAATGACCCTGTGTAGGATTTCCAAGAAGCGGCTAGTGAGTTTGAACCATTGACCTTGTGGTTCAAACTGACTTTGCTTATTCTACAGTGGGACATCAGGATTTCATACACATGTATAATCAGTACTTCATACATATGTATAATCGGGACTCCATACCCACATATAATTTAAACAGTTGCCAATTAAACAAATTTTACATGTACAATTCAGTGACACTGTTTACATGGACTAAATTGTACATTACTATACTGTTGCCTTCCCCATCCAGCTCTTATTTCCTAAACTCTATCAGGTGGGTGGTTCTCTCACAGCACTTCTAAGCACTAACAGCTTTAGAGTATCAAGCTGCTTAACACACTGTCCCAATCTGGCAAATCCTGGAGTTGATGCAACTTTTTCAGTGGGCAGGAACTGTGAGAAAACAGGATGTTATTTAAACTAGATCAGCTAAGGATAAGACAGGCGTGTCATGAGGAAGACTGGTCATTCACTCCCTTTTCCAGGGTGATAAACTCACTGCTGTAGGTGGGAATACAACATATTCTTTGTGCTTAATTGTTGTTGTTAAGCGCTCTTGAATCTGTTCCAACTCAGAGTGATGAACCTGTATAAGGTTTCTGAGGAGGTAGTAAGAACTGCCAACCTTGTGGTAGCCGACTCCAGTGTGCTTAATCATTTGATATTAAACGCTGTTTTTAATTCTCCTTAAGAACTGTGGCCAGGACTTCTAGTAAGATGGCATACGAGGCAGATGCCGTACACCGATCCTCTATAACAAAGGTTCGACAGACCAAATGAAACAGAGACAGATGAAAATTGGAAATACCTCACAACATGGATAACCTGGAGACACTGTTGTTTTTGTTGTTGTTAAGTGCCATTGAGTCAGGTCTGACTCATAGCGACCTGTATAGGGTTTCAGAGGAGCAGCTGGTGAGTTTGAACTGACGACCTTTTGGTTCAAACCAATCTTTTGGTCCAGTACTATCCTACAGCACCACACCAGAACTCCCTTGAGATATTGTTATTGTTAAGTGTCATCAAACTGGTTCCAACTCATAGTGACTCTGTATAGGGTTTCCAAGGAGTGGCTAGTAGCTTGAACTGCTGATTTTGTGGTTCAAACTGACCTTGCAGTCCAGTGTACTAACCCGCAGTGCCACACCAGGACTCCTCCTTGAGACATTAGGCTGAATTAAATTTATCACTCACAAAATGGCAAGTATTGCTGATATCAATGTGGTAAAACATTAAGAAAGAAATGTTTTACTTAATAAGTGATAGTGATGGTCATGCAATATACAACAAAATGGAGGTCAGCAGAGGAGAGATGAAGGTAGTGGGAGACAAAGGGAAGAGTGCAAGGGTTAAAGTGAATAGAAGTAAGTCCTGTTAACTGATGGCACATGGAGGGGATTGCAGTCATTGTAATGAAACAAAGTAAATGATTGGTTGAATTTAAAACTAATGACTGGCTCCTTAAACTCCATAAACCTTTATTCTATTCACAGTAAAAAGTTAACAAACAAAAAACCCCCACATTTATGGCCAGCCAATGATAGCAAGTGGCTAGTTAAGATAATCATACTTTCTTTCATTCCTCTTTGGAAAAGTTATTTTAAAACCACCTTTATGATCATCAGAAAGGCTACCTTGCCAGCTAAGAGTAAATAAAACATTACCTTCTCAAAAGCACCCATGCCAAATCTTTTCCTTTAAATGCCCCAGTGGCAAATGAGATGTAAACAGATCCCACTGGGATCTCATCAAGGCATCAAATTGATTTCCACCTTAGAAGCATAGCATAGCATTCCTTCCCAATGACTTCAAGAACAAGGATGGCAAACAAGGACTTGTTGAACTGAATCTCATTAGAATGTAAGTTTTGAAAAGAGTAGCTGAAGGCATCTAAAGACTTGTATCCATCTTTTTTTCTGTTACTCTCATAACAATTACACAATTAATTACTGTAGGATTCCAAAGTGATAATTAAGTGGAGGCACACAGTTGTAAACACTTGATACTATACAACATACAATACCAAGACTCAGAGAAAATGTCTGAGAACTGAAGAAAAATGCTTCAGGCGCCTATCCTGTTACTAGCAGTCATCAGGGAGGAGGGAAATCAAATATTATAAAACTGAGGGAGGGCAATAGGGAGGACTATGCCGAGACAAGTGCTGGGAGTAGTCAGGGAGAAAGGTATGAGCTTCCTGTTTATCAGCTCTTTGTCATCCAACAACACTGAGGGCTGGTGGCCAAGAAGTCAGGAGCTTCCACCACCAAGAGCCTGTGTGAATGTATAGAGAGAAGCAAGGGAAAAAAAAAAAAACAGCTTCACTGGGGAAAAGCAGTACACAAAGAATGCTGGGGTAGCCTTCCAGGGGATCTAGAAAACCCCCAGAAGAAAGAAGGTAAAGGTCACTCTGAGCAAGAATCTAACAAGAATTTTCCTTAGGTGAGTTATATTCTAAGGACATGCTTTAAGGCCAAGGTTGGCAGATTCACAGAATATGAATAGATTCATGTCCCAGAACCCTACATAATGTAAAGTAAATGCCCAGAGAAAAGACAGACTGAAAAGACTGAAATACATATTGAATTGGGCACAGCTTTCATATTTCTGATGGTATAATTCTGGGAGTTGGAACTGGAGGTGTCTTTATAGATGATCATATCCAAAGATGGAAAATAGCTTTCAGGTCAGGTGCCAACTGTGAGTGACTGTGCATGTACTGGCTGCCTTGAACATCGTGTGGAGAAGGATTCGGAGCTGCTTTTAGGACTTAGAACAAAAGGAAGCCGTGAAGGATTAGTAATGTCAGCTGTGGGTGAGGAAGACAGGTGTGGCAGCATAGGCACCTTTATTGTCACCCATGATGTACATGCTCTTCATTTTCAAGATGGGAAAATGGATGGTCACAAATGTAAAATGCTTAATTTGGGCCTCCTGATAAAACATTACATTGCTTTTGCCTCACTCAATGAATTAATGTCACTAATTTTCATTTAAGTGTAATATGCATCAACTCCAAGTAGCTTTGAAAATGATCAATATTCTCCTTTTTAATATTACTGCACAATCAATCTAGAAAATACCAAACAAATGACTGCATTAAAAAAAGGGGGAGTATACAGCTTTTAAAGGATCTCTGGTGATGCAGGTCAAACTTTCTGTGGGATAAAGGTAAGGTTTTCTGCTCCTGGAGAGATTTAGAGCCTCAAAAACCCAATACAGGATCACTTAGACTT